TCCAAAACTTATCAGATAAAGCAAATCCGTCGAAGACGATATACGAAATGACAGCGCGCAACTTAGAAAATACAGAAAAGTGAATGAAGGTAAAAATGAAAATGAAGGTATCTAAGTCAGAAGCGAACATTCTCAAACATGATGATAGGACCTATGCAAAATTTTTATAGCTATTAGGTGAAGCTGACCATTTAAAATTTGATTTGTTCTATGCAGAGTTATGGATAGTCCTTTGCGTCACGTTTCATGTGGACCACTCTGTATTTGTGTCAGCATTGCGTTAATGAACATTATTGCTGATCAGCACTTGAATAGCCTCATCCTTCTCAGAGGTTTTAGTTTTGAACACATCGACCTTCGCTGCCTACCGCACTCTCACGGATTACGGTAGTATACGTCTGAATACGTCGGTCAGCTGACCACAAGCGATATGTTTGGAGTTGTACGTTCTGTAGGCAGTGCTGATGGAAGAACGTCCTCATAGCAAAAGTAGGCAAGTTCTTTATAAGTTGCATAATATTCGGGTTAAACTTCGCGCATGTGACGCATGAGCTTTCCGGAAACTTAGCCCATTGTCCCTCTGCCGCCAAAACAGACACTTCTATCGCCGATGAGGATCAAGTGCGTTTTTTACTTTGGAAATTAAGCCCTCCCTTCTTACTGATGGGAGCCGCGGAGGGCTCATCTTTCAATGGTGCCCGTCCAAGGTAGGAGCGAAATGGATGTTTTTGCTTTTGTTTTGTTTGATTTTTTACTAACCTTAGTTATTCTCCTCTTTTCGGATTTGATCTCTACCAGCTTTGATAAGTGGCACTCACCTGTGCTATATCGGAAAGGGCGTAGACATATGCTGCATTTTCGCTCTTTCCAAGAATGGAATACCCGTAGTACACTATCATAGATGTGAATGTTGCAGCAAGAAAAGCAAGTCCAAGAAATAGCCCTGGAAGCTCTTTCAATGACGGGAATTGCTTGATTTAAAAAGTGCCTACCAGTTGTGGTTTTCGAACAATCTACTCTGATACGATGTTTTCGTTTCACATACTCAGAACCGTGCCCTGCTCTTCCAATATTTCGCCAGACTATATACATTACCGCTGCGGCTATGAGAGAATACTCGACAATTGCCGTGAACATCACTTCGGAGAGACTCCCTGCAAGTATGCATGTAAATTTCTTACTTAGGTCAACATTACTTACCTAGTATGCATTCAGCCGCTCGACAACCTCCAATAAGATCGATGTCTCGGTGTTCAAATGCGTGAGCGGAACTCTCATCCAGTACGGTTCCAGAGCGGTTACTTAGCGTATGGAAGACTTCCCTGGAAACTAGAGTTTCAAAGAGAGGTCAAAAGCTTAATTGTAGGCGACCTATATCCTGTGTTTATAGTACAACCGCTGTTCAAAATTCTCGGTGGCCAAAGCTAGGGGGGCAGCCAACATGAACATTTTTTATCCCTTTATGGAGACGCTATCATGGTATTCAAAACTCTGAAATAAGGCTGAGAGGATAGTAGACCCTGTCTTGCTTTTCGGCCCATTTTTTATGTCAGCGG